CTCGCATCTTTCAGATTTCGCTTGCGCTCAAGACCTCCAGCACCGTCACGCGCTACTTGATCCGCCATGCCCAAGTCACGTCGCGACAAGGTGATCTCGCTCACGCGAGTATCGAAGAAGGATCGAGCAGCCAAAGCCTCTCATATGGACCTGGTTCGCAAAGCAGCTCAAGATCATGCCTATTGCTGGGTGTTCACCATCGGTAGTCTGCGAAACACTTTTTTGAAAGAGGTCAGGGATCTGTGGAAGGGGTCTAGAATCTTTTTTGGGCGGAATAGGTTGATTGCCAAAGCGCTTGGAGAGAGTCCAGAGGAAGAGGTAAGAGATGGCATTCATGGCGTCTCCAAGGTGAGTGCATCGCGCAGTGCAGAGAGAGCATGGCAGGAAGGATTTGAAAAGCACGATTCGCCTCGAAGCTGCCAAATGATTCAAAGCAGTGCCAAGCTGATTCAGGCGCATCTTTTTTTCTTAGATGCTCTCTGGGCCCGTGGGCTTGCTTTTCACCGACGAGCTGCCCTCTGCGGTCATCGACTGGTTCGAGACGTACGAGAGGAGGGACTTTGCCCGGACAGGAAACAAAGCTACGCAAGACGTTGTTCTGCCCTCAGGTGCGTTTGCTCTGTGCGGCATTCTCGGCACTTGCACGTTGGGCTGACCGTCGAGCGCTCTTTTTCCTGTCACTGTACAGGCCCCGTCATGATGAGATCAGACCCGCCAGAGGCCCTGTCACATCCACTCGAGCCCAAATTGAGGAAGCTGGGCATGCCTACAGAATTGCAGAGAGGTGTGCCGACGCTGTTGCGGGACTACAAGGTCTGCTCCAAAGGCCAAGCATTAACTTCCGACGCTGTAAGTCTTCTCAATCTGAAGCTTGCACGAAAGCGAAACTCAACGCGCTGCCGCTGCTGTCCACGCTCGCCCCTCCATCTTCTCAGGCACAAATCCTCAAATTGCTCTTGATTCAAGATGCTACCTTTCAGATCGTGCCGCTGGCTTACTGGGAAGCTTCGAGCGGCGCCGTCAAACGCACCGAGCTGACTGCTATTCAAACAGAGATTGTACAGAATGCAGCTGCGGGAGGTATTGGAGGCGTTGGAGAGGGGAGGAAAAAGGGAGCGAACAATGCCTCTACTGGGAAAGCTGGAAGGAGGAAAAAGGTACAAGGAGCGCTGATTGGCGAGAGTAGTGTGGCTGGACTTGAGGACGAGGAT